TCTATGTGGAGTCTTTTGAGGAACCTCCATACTATTTAAAAATAACAGATTTTTAGTGCCTTCTATAAAGAACTGCCACACTCTTGCAAGTTTTAATGGTTTCTAATGCTTGTTGACTGTTCTTTTAGTTGTTTTCTTCGGTTATTAGTTACACTTCCATCTATTTTTGTCATGTAGTCACCTAGCAAACATATCCCACAGAGGAAATTAGGTAATTTTTATACTTCATAGTGTTATAGTAATTATGTTTATATTGAATAATAAAACAAGTAAGGCTTAATACAAAATGTCTTCATTTGTATTTGTATTTAATATATATGAGCTTTACCAAGTTTCAATGTAAACAAAATCCAAAGTAACACTTTAAAAGGTAAAAATGAAATAGAAATGGTGTGATAGTTGTCACTCATGAAGATTTTTATCAGTTGGTTTGTACTGAGTACACTATATGTGGATCCACCATTTGTTGGCAACATATGGAGAAGTGCCTGCTGTATTCCAGGCACAGCACCTGGAAGGCAGATATCCCTTCCTTTTTATAGATGAGGAACTAGTGGATAGGATACAGATCTTGTTCTGTGTTAGTTCAGAGCTCGTGATTTTTTTCCCACAGACCACTCTGCTTGTTGTTGCGGTTACTGAAAGACAATATAAGGGAATAGTACTAGAGATTTAAAAATCTTGCTTTTATGTAGTTTTCACTGAAATGTCATCTAACGGATTATTTAAAATGTGATTTGATAGAATGATTTTTTTACATCTAACTTTTGAAAATATATAAGATGCCTTAGAGTTTGAAAGAAAAGTGCATTGAGCAAAAATTACAGGTTTTTTTCCTCCACAATTTCAACATTTAGGTACGAGCAAAAAAGAAGAAAAGCAGTGAAGAACGAGAAAGAGCAACAGCAAGTATTTCTTATGTTTTTAGATGGCAACAGCTCGACTGTTCTGGTTTAGTATAAGATGAGTCATGGTAACACATTGTATTTACTGTGAAAAAGAAAGGATTGGGAAAAGTGGTACTCAGCAGCTTCACTTGATGGATAGGAGAGAATCAAATTGGCTTAGGAAAGAGAAAGAAAACCTTGGTGGCAATATCTACCTTTCTAAGATAATGAAGATATTCTAATGTCTTACTGTTAGAAATAGAAGCTCAAACTTGCACATTACTTTTTTTAAGGTGCATTAAAATATGGTGATTTCTTCTCTCTTCTGAAGTTATTTCTAGATCAGCCAAAGCCAGAATAACAGAAAAAGCCTTTTAAAGCATTACCTGCAGTGGAAAATAAGCAGGAAAGTGGCATTGTAATGACGCACTAATATTGATTACTCTTTTTTAAAACCAATCTTCCATTATGAAAATTGAGAAGTAGAAAAGAGAATTAAAGAGAATAGCAGTGCATTTTCTATTCTAATAATTTCACTAAAAATAAAAATTATTTTTGCCCTTCCTAAAATCTGTCATTTTGTCGACAGTTGAGTTTTACTTTGTGGCCTTTAGAAATTATAACATGAGTAATAATATTCTACTAAATTTATTCTACAAGAAGTTGTGTTAGAATGTGTGGTAACATGCCAATGGCTTAAGATTTTGTTTTCCTTATTTTATAAAAATTGACAAGAACTTTTGTTCCTTGTATTATGACTGTTTATAGACTTTTCAAGAGATGTTTTTTCCCCTTGGTTGTGTGGATTGTTTGTAATAGCTTAGACATACTTCGGTAAAGATGTTCTTTGTTTACATATTTCTCAGTAGTAATGTCTTTAATGTGGAATTTTCATTACAGGAAAAGACAAAAAAGAAAAAGAAGCATAAGAAACACAGTAAAAAGAAGAAAAAGAAGACTGCTAGTTCAAGTCCTGATTCATCGTAACATTTAGAAAAACCTGGATTCCCTTAAAGAAAGTGCAATGTCTAAGAAAATTTCAACTGTGAAAATTATGACATATTTACTAAAATGCATGAACTTTCTTGTTTCTAAAATTATTCCTGGACTCTACAGTAGCCACTCAGGTGCTGCTGTTTGGAAGGTCATGATTGCTGCCTGCGTTTTGAGCATCTACTTTCTCCTTTGTGCTTGATAACTCTCGGAGATATTACACACACTGCAGTCATGATAGTGGTTAAGACATTTGGGAATAAAGCTAATACTTTTGACTAGATATATCTATGGATAAACAGAAATTGAATCTGGATGTATCTTTAAGATGCAGTCAGAAATGACAGATGATTCTAGTTAAAATTTTTGAAGTAGGGATTACATTAATGCTTCAAAAATCTTTACTTGTAGATAAGTGTATTTTAATTTTTTCCCCTGTATACTTTTATTTACCTGGGAAGGAACTTTTAAGGCGGGAGGGTGGTTTGCTATCTAGCTAGCAGAATAGCGTGCCTTTGATCCTCACACATCCTATTTTTGTGGACACATCAGCCATGCTTCCTGGGGAGTTTAGAGCTGGGTGCCAGCAGTCTTGTCCTTTACTGAGCTTAGTAACATCCTTGGATTTTGTGTGCTGCTTTGAGTGAGTCAGAGATGTGAAGCCCTTTGCAGCATGAGAAAACCCCCAAAGCTCGGAATTTACCTCCACATCTATAATAACTGAATGTTTTTTAGCATTAGAATGTGTTATGTTGTTTGAATTTTGACTACACTTTGACTTTGGAGAGGAATAGTTTCAGATAGACACTGGTACTTTTTGAAATGGATAGTTGAAGATTCTAAAATGCATGTTTTATACTGTTAAGTTTTAACCAGTCAAGAAAATTTTATGTAACCAGTGATTGTTACCTTTATTTTTTGTATAAATTTTGTTTAGGCTGCAATGTTTAGCTTTAGTTAACTCCTTACTCTTGCTGTCTTACATTCATTACTATGTTTAATGGCGTATTTGCCACGATATTTAGCATGTAAAAAGCAGGGATTTCATTTCTTTTTTTAACAGCTTCATATTGAAGCTGAGACCATACACAAGTTGAGTGCAGGCTTGATATGCTATATCTTGTTACATAAGGCTGTTGCCAGAATCTTAGTAAATACATTTTAAAAGTTTGTTGTCTTTGTATGTTAGTAACAAAATATGGTAAGTTAACTTTAAGTGAGAATTACATTACTTCTCTTTCTGTGTCATTTTACTAAGATTTTGTGCCTCAGATATTCTGCTGAATTATTAGGAATGTTAAAAGGAATTGATAAATTGTTTCATTTTACATTTTTATATAATCAGGTAATAAGAAATGTAATTTGATGTACAATTTTACCTGTTTCAAAAGGTTTGCTAATTACAGTGGTATATGCACAGAGCATTTTGGCATGACAAGAGGCTGAATAAATAGCTATTTTACTTAAAAATAGCTGTGCTCTCATCTCCCTTTGAGTCACAGGTAAACTTACAAAGGTAAAATACTAGTAGGTATTAGTAATAGGTAAAGTAAACCCTCAAGGTTTTAGTAGTTAAGCCAAAAACAAACCATTTCAAGAGTTTTTATTTTTCCTTCTGTTTTTTAATGCTTAAAGCTTCATACTGCTTTCTCATAAAGATACCTGTATGCATGCCAGGTATGGTGGTAACATGCCTATAATCCCAGCATTCGGGAGGCTAAAGCAGAAGGGTTGTAAGTTTGAAGTAGTTGTGAGTTTGAAGCTAGCTTGGGCTATATAGAGAGATCCTGTCTCAAAACAACTTTTTTATGTGCCAATACTGAGATTTGAACTCGACCTCACACTCTCGCTCAGTTCATGGTTTGCACTCTACCACTTGAACCACATCTTCAGTGTAGCTATCTTGCTGTTTACTTGAAAATAAAAGTCTTGAAGATTTGTCTGCTAACTTCAAACTTTGATCCTTAAATTTCAGCTTCCTAAGTAATTAGGATTATAGGCATGAGCCACCAGTGCCTGGCTTTTTACGCACACTGAGTACATAAAATTGAGGGCATTTTATGTTCTCAGAATTGTTTGTAAAAATGCTATTAAAATCATCAGCTTATTTGCTGTATATTTCAGTGTACAAGTGCAGCTTTATAGGCTGGTCCTTAGTTCTGTCCCACTAGAAGCAACTGTTTCAGACATTGGGGATGAGGGGAAGGAGGAGATTTGGCAAATAGTTTTTTCTTTTCAGTCTGATGATTCTCAGAGAAGCATCATTTCATTGTTTCTCGGCAGTAACCTTAACAGTCTTCCCAAAAACGGTACAAGAATATATATGCCAGAGTATGTTGTCAGTTGTGTATACTGTAGCTGTTAAATGTTGCAAAACAGCATCAGACTACTCTTTTTCTTTCATGAGTTTTATAAACATAAAGCATGTAACTTGCACAATGGAACTACCTGGCAGAAGTGGATGAGTATCTACATAGAAAAGAATGGCCTTATGTCACTTCTGCTTTTTTTTTTTCAGTTACTCTGGATTACAATATTTAGATGTTTTAAGTGCTTTAAAATCAATCTAGTTTTATTTATCCAGAATACAGTTTCATGTTCTTCCATCAACATGTGCTAAAGACACATTCTTTAAATTTCTATTATCATAAACAACAAACTAGCCTTGGTAAAACCAAGTGTGAAGGGTTGGGAAGGTGGCTCAGTGGTAGAGTGCTTGCCTTGCATGCGTGAGGCCCTGGGTTCTATTCCCCAGCACCACATAAGAAAAAAGGAAAAAAGGGCTGGGATGTAGCTCAGTGGCAAAGCGCTTGCCTAGCAAGTGCAACATCCTGGGTTCGATCCCCTGTACCAAAAAAGAAAAGACAAAAAACAAGTGTGAACTATTATTTTTCTTTCAGAGCTGAGGGTCAACTTCTGGTTAAAATTTTCACACTTAAGAAATTTTAAAATCGTGCATTTATCTGCTATTTTTGTAATGAAAGTTTTGTGAGAACTTTTTTTTTCTAATTATATCTACCTTGTTACAAGACTTACTCCCCTTCTCCCTTCCTTTCCCTCCCTTTTCTCCCCCCCTTTCCCCCCTCCCCCCCCCACAAGTTAATCAAGGAGCCTGGGCGCTGTCCCTGAGCTTCTTTGTCTTCAGCTGAAGACTAGCACTCTACTACTGGAGCCACAGCGCCATGCCTGGCCTTTCTGAGAAGTTGGAGATAATTCTATAGACTTTCCTGCCTGGGCTGGCTTCAGACTGCAGTCCTCAGATCTCAGCCTCATACGTAGCTAGGATTACAGGTGTGAGCAACCAGAACCCAGCAAAACTTACTCTTATACTTTAATAAAAATTGTTAGAGGAACTAGAATATATTGCCCTACATTTAATTTCTAATTTAAAAAATTGTTTAAGTATTTCATCCTCCAGCCAGGATGGCCATCATCAAGAATGTGCAGCATCAAGTTGTGCAGCTATTATAGAAGGCAATTTGGAGATTATTAAAAAAAAAAATAGAAGTAGAGCTACCTTCTAATCTAGTGTTACCACTGTTGGGCATTTATCCAAAATAATACAAATCAGGTTACAGTAAATGCACCAGTACACCTTGTTCATTCAGAGCTGCACTAGTCACAGTAGCTAAGTACCAGATACAGCCCAGATGCCCTATAATTGATTCTCAAGAAATATGGTATGTATAGACATTCGAATTTTATCCATCAGAAACATTCATTTTCAGGAAAATGGATTTGGAGAAAAATCATACTGAGTAAACTAGGTTCAGAAAGAACAAGGTCATGTTTTCTCACACACATGGATGTTAGACTAAAATACAAACAAGTAAATACAGGGCCATCTGCATGTATGATGTGTGTGTGCATGCGTGTATGTGTGCATGTGTGTATGCCTATAATCAAACTGGTTTATGCAGGACAGATTCCATGGTGTAATTCCTTTGAACAATAAGCAGTTTAACAGAAATGAGTATTAGGAAGCTTAAACAAGACTTATTCATAAACTTCCTCTGACTGTGAGGTAACTAGTGAGCAAATGCAGTTACAATAATGTATGTAAGTAAAAATGGAACTGGGAAAAGGAGTGTGGCTAGGCTAGGTGGAGAATGTTAAAGGTGTGGCTGATCAAGACATACACATAAATGGACATGTTAAGCTCAATCTCCAGTATACACTTAAAAATAATTCAGAAATTTCAGCCTAGGGCTAAGGGCATAGTCAGTCCAGTATTCACAAAGTCCTGGTTCAAGCCCTAGCATCAACAAAGAAAACCGTCCCTAAAAGTAGTTTCAGAGGATTTTCTTGCCTTACCAAAATGATGGCTACCAGATGCCTCAATAGTTTTTTTCCCTACCAAGATATTACCCTAGACATCAATTAGAACAGTGGACATTTCAGTGAGCTTTCGTTTACATCACGTTTTCCTACCAGTCTTAGGTGAAAATGGGTTTTTACACTAAAGAAGATTCCAGATTGAAAACCTTTTGAGTCTCATGAAAAGATGTTTGGTTAGAGTTTAAAAGTTATGCTCTTAGAGGGAGCGGTCTGTGGCCTGGGAAATCAGCTGAGAAACATCCACCTCAACTATCATGTTCAAATACAGAAATATTTTTAGGGAGAATAGCAATAGAATGATACACTAATTTGATTATGTTTAGCCCTCAAGAAAAGTATATGCTGAAATTGCCACAATGCTTCAGAGATCACAGTAACCTTAATGAAAACCCCTAATATGTACTGAGTGGTAGCAACCATTGCTGCCAGGTTTTCCAGTTACTTGAAAAGGTTCTGTTTAGTTGCTAGGAAGTTTCTGTGGTCACATTCCATAGTGAGAGATTGGCGTGGTGAACTATGGGATCAGCAGTTGTTTAGAACACCCAAGCTTGGAGCAAGCCTATCTGGGAAGTACAGTGTGTTGAAGCCAAACTCAGCATGGAGCAGCGGGCTCTGAAGAAACTAGTCGAATCCATCTGTAAAACTGTCAAAAGCTGTAAGTACTGACCAGACTTACAACACTACCTGAGCATTTTTGGTTCAATCAAATACAAATGTTAAGTTATACTAATTGGAAACATACTACTTAGGTATTAATAAGTACTTTGTAACACTAGAGTCTATGTCTAATATTTAGGTTATTTTAAAAATGAGTTAGGTAAGTGAATAATTGTGTTTGCATGTATACGGAAAGTGTTTTAATGCTTGGGTGTCTTATGTAGTAAAAATAGCTTGAGGATTTTACATGGTATAAGGGATAAAGGTAATCTGCTAGCCTAGGGCTGAGCTTATATTGAAATGTAATCAGAATTTCTAAATTATAAAGGTTTACTGCAGTCACTACCCCTAGTTGTCTGGTACAAACCCCACAGTGGTAGATAATCACTCTAGAGGATTAAAAAAATACGTAGGATACTTAGATGCTGAATTAATGACATTGCTTTGCACATGGCTAGTGTTTGCATACTAAAGGTACTTAGATTTAATAGATTTTCTTTTTAATCCTTGTTCTAAAAAAATTTAAGCAATCTTGTGTTTCTCAGCATAAGTATTGACTGGTAATCCTCAATCTTTTGGACACCGATGAAGTTCATTTCAGCCACTGTTACAGAATCATTAAGAGCACTTTTGGGTTTTTTTCCCCAAGACCAAGACTCAAACTCAGTACAGTATCTGATGCTTTCACCCATTGGTTGGCAGAGAGCACTTCTATTTTTACTTGATTGATCTCAGAGTATAGCTGTTACCTAAGAGTCATTGTAGAGTTGATTTTTATGGTGGTACTATAGTTTGAACTTGGGTCCTCCATTTGGCTGAGCCAAGTTAAGCCATGGCTCATTTGAGCCACGACTCCAGCTTACATGTTTTCTAGTTATTTTGAAGAGTCTCGGACTTCTCTGCCTGGGCTGGCTTCCAACCATGAGCCTCCACATCTTAAGACATTAGCTATTAGCTACAACTGACTTTAAAACTCCATTTTTTTGGTCTCACTAGCCAGTTTGGGGGTAAATGGGGGCGGGGGTATCAGTCACATACATGGGTAGTGGCTAGGAAAGTAGACAACAGATCAAAAACAATGTGATTTCAGAAGGTGTTGATCTCATGGCTCACTTAATGGTGAGCAAGCTATGCATTCTTACAAGACCTGTGTTTTAATGTTCCTCTGTTACTGACTTAATTTTTGAACTTCAGTGTGCACTGATGCACAAAGTTGTCAGTGTTGGCATACACTCTTGCTTGAAGTATAGGAATATCTACATCATCAGAATCAATGAAATGATTGTGTCAAAAATACCATCCCAGTTGTATTGTCTCTGGAAATTCAAATTTTTTACTACAGGTAAAATCACTGAAAATGGGGCATTTAGAAATGATTGAGTCATTTCACATTACTTAACTGGTTACTTTGACATCTGGAAATGACTCTCGTCAAACATATTCCTTAACTTCTCCAATTACAGTCCTCTAAATCTGACAAGTACTTCAATTCACAAGTGGTTGACAAAAACATTAAGAGCCTACCAGTGTGCTAGACACTCTTGGATACTGAGTTTGTTTTAAACATGCTAAACCAATACCTTTTGAGCAGGCACCATGGGCTCCTGCCTGTAATGTCAACTATTCAGGAGACAGATCTGAATGATCACAGTTTGAAACCAGACCATGCAGGAAAGTACCCTGGATTATCTCCAACACCAGCAAAAAGCTGAGGTGGAGGTGTGGCTCAAGTTGGTAGCATGACAGCTGAGCAAGCCCAAGCAAGGCTCTGAGTTGTATAAAGGACAAACACATGTATATGTATGAACCCAGGCACGTACACACTAATCCCTGGGACCACTGACTTAGCAATTATGATTTAACAAACCTGAGGCATGTCCTACAAACCTGCATATTTGACAAATGTGGAACAGTGGAAAGAGGGTTGATTCTCATAAGCAGTCTAAAAGATGATGTCATGAGATACATTGTTCCTGAATAATAAACACGACACCCTTTTCCTCTTCTACCTCAATTTTCACTTCTTGCCAGTTTGCCATGACACCAATAAGGTGTCTTCAGCATCTGATTCTGCCTGTTTCTTTAACTCACATTGTGTACTGTCCTTAGAATGCTCCATTCCATACCTAAATTAATGCTACTTCAAAGTCAACTTTTCCCATGAAGACAGCCAGCTCCTCTTTCCCACTGCACATTTTCCTCCTTTACATGTCTATGGGAGGAGTATGAATTCTTACATAATTTTGCAGTTATATACTGCTGTATAAGACTTGTGAGTTAAACCTACCTTAATTACATAAACTCCTAAGAAAAAAGTCCTTATCATTTTTTGGGAGGTTAGGGGGAAGGGATGGTTACATTAGGCCCAGGCCACCTGACATCATAAGAACAAAAAAGCTGCTTAGTAAACTATAACTGAATAACTCAATTAACATTTTTTTGTCTTTTCATTTTTTTCAGTCAAAAAAAGTGAGGTACATTGTCTCATAAATCTTTTTCAAAGCTTGGTGGAAAGAAGTGGTGGAAGATTTGATAAGGGGTTAGATCGTAACACATTTCGAGGGATCCTGTACAGCATATTTGGAATGACTGATGATATGTTGATGAACAGAGGTAAGGAATAGTAAGATTTAAATATGCCAATCTGAGATGCAAACTGTATACATGTGTGCATGTGTGTGTATTCAGTTGTCATCAAAGACTGATTTATTTTAATTAAAAAACTAGAAAGGTAAAATTCTAAGTGTAGCTAGCATTCCAAACAAGTTTGATTATGAGGATGATTTTTAACACAAACTCAGAATTTCATATAACTATATAGCTCTGAGAAATCACTAATGAACTCAATTTTTTTAAGGTAAGCAGCTTTTGGCTTATACTTTGATCCTAGCTACTTAGGAGGCTGAGATCTAACTGGAGGTGTGGTTCAAGTGATAAGAGTGCCTGCTTAGAGCAAAAAAGTCAAGCAATACTAGAAGACTTGAGTTTAAGGTCCCATCCAGGCGCACACACACGCGCATGCGCACACACGCACACACGCACACACACACACACACACACACACACACACGAAAAATCATGGTAACTTTAGAATTACATACTTTAGACATGTTTGTTATTACTGGACTTTTTCTTCAAAAAATGGAAAATTGTCAGTATAAAAATGATAACTCGGGACTGGGAAGATGGCTCAGTGAGGCCCTGGGTTCGATTCTCCAGCACCACGTAAGTGAAAAAAGCCAGAAGTGGAGCTGTGGCTCAAATGGTAGAGTGCTAGCCTTGAGCTGAAGAGCTGAGGGACAGCACCCAAGCCCAGAGTTCAGGCCCCACGACTAACCAAAAAAAAAAAAAAAAAAAAAAGGATAACTCATTGACTCTGGGAATATCAAAGAAAAAATAATATTTAAAATAGAAAATTATTCATTTCCAGGATCAGATCTTTAAAGTGTACAATATTTATATATATGTATTGTTGAATCAAAAAATAATTATAATACACTTAAAAACACATTTTTTTCTTTTAGTGTTTTTTGCATTTGACAAAGACAGTGATAATTTCATCAATGTAATAGAATGGATTAAAGGATTATCAGTGTTTCTTCGAGGGACTTTTGAAGAAAAGCTCAAGTGTAAGGTTACTGGTTTAGTGACACATATTGCCAATTCTGTAGGTTTAAGTATTTAAAAATATGAAATCACTGTAACAGCCTTGCAAATAAGGGGTTCATGATAGCAGAAAGAGAGAGATAGGGAGGGAGAGAGATAGAGAGAGAAGAAAAAGAGGGAAGGAAGGAAAGGAAAAGAAAAGAGAAAAGCAAAAGTGCCCTAATTATAAGGTCATGGGAGAGTCCCTAGCCCTATGGCCCCAAATCATTGCCTTCACAGTTTTTTCCTTTAATAATCAAGTGTCAGCAGAATGGCCCTCATTAGAATGTCTTTGGATTATGGTCCAGACTAATAGCAGTTCAGGGTCAGGCTTGTATCAACTCTGATCAGCTGGCAAGGTTAGTTTCTAAGGCTGCCTTCTGGGCTCAGCATGAAACAGGGCCTGATTTGCAACTGTGCAAATCCTTTGGGGCCATCCTTTGTCATTCCACCAAAGAAAATGTGTGAGGGGTTGACACAGAACCAGATTAAACACACACTAACCACCTGATGTTGAAACTCACAATGTTGGGAGTTGTTACAGATCACTGAGGAGAGAAAGATGAAGGTAATCTAAGTTCAAAGGGAAGTGTGCTACAATGGAGCCCACTCCTTGGGAATGCCAAAGACAATGACCTCCCAATTTACAATTTTGTCTAATACTAAGCGCTGATTTGTCCCAGTGGGATGATGTTTTACTCTTCTGGTGTTCTCTGGGTTCTTCTGGTTACTCTTTGGATTCTTTCAAGAATTCTGGAAATAATACAAATAATTTCAAATATCAATTTTCAGGGAAACAAACTGTTTAATGTCTAATTAATGTCTAACTTCTTTAGCAAAGATTGCAGAATTTTTTTTTGGGGGGGGGGGGGAGGGTCTGGTCGTGAGGCCTGAACTCTGGGACCTGGGCGCTGTCCCTCAGCTCTTCAGCTCAATGCTAGCGCTCTACCACTTGAGACACAGCACCACTTCCGGCTTTTTTCTTTTTGCTTATGTGGTCCTGAGGAATCGAACCTAGGGCCTCAGGCATGCAAGGCAAGCGCTCTACTACTGAGCCACCTTCCCAGCCCCAAATAAGCATATTTTTATCCCTTGTTCTTCACTTGATTTGGCTGAGATATTGAAAAGATCTCTAAATTAATACATTTTAAAAGTTATATCTAAAAATCACCAAATCTGGCATTTGTGATTTGTTAAACTATCTTTAAGTAGTTATACAAAAGCCTTCAATTCAACAGTATCTATTTGTAAGTACAATGTATCTTGATCAATGTCATGCTTCCATTGCTAACACTCTCTAATTACCACTTAAACCTGGTTCAGTGTTTTTGTGGTGGTGGTGATAGTGGTGGCTGTTCTATATAGTTTTGTAGGGGTAGGGATAGAACCTAGAACCTCATACTTGTTAGGCAAGCCTAAGTTATATACTACTGGCCTTGTAGTATTCTTTTACAAAAATCTCACTGAGAAGTGAAAAGCTAAGCTTTAGGGATATAAATCCTTTTAATACTAGTAATTGGTGAAAATGACTATTACACCAAATGCAACTGTACATGACTAAACTATCACACTATTAAAAAACTTCTGTATTCAAATCCTACTTCTTAAAATGTTTCCTATACATTTAAAGATAAATTAATTCAGGGGAAAATACTTTCTTCAGAATGAAACTCATATGTATGTTATAGATTGAAGAAATTTAACTAATACAGCTAATCTGGTACTCTAAAAGTTTTCTGGCCGGGCACCGGTGGCTCACGCCTGTAATTCTAGCTACTCAGGAGGCTGAGATCTGGGGATTGTGGTTCAAAGCCAGTCCAGGCAGGAAAGGCTGTGAAACTCTAATAAACGATCAGAAAACTAGAAATGGTGTTGTGGCTCAAGTGGTAGAGCACTAGTCTTGAGCTGTTGAGCTGAGGGACAGCACCCAGGCCCAGAGTTCAAGACCAATGACGGACAAAAAAGAAAAAAAAAAATCTCAGTGCTATTATTTTTGCCAAAACATTTGACTAGACTACAGACTGAAAATTCCTACAATTCTGTACCTCCCCCTGGACCTGAGTAAAGTCATTGGTGGGATCAATTGAGTGAACTCTTGTGTGGGACACAGGGAGAAGCAAGGCATGGAAGTCACTCTGGGGAGGAGATATTTGATAATTTGGGACTGCAAAAGAGCAGATCAAGGTAATGACTGAACCTACTATCCTAAAATCTTTCAACTATATAGTAAATTGAGATTAGTAATTATATGTGTAATAGAAAATTTGTCTTTACATATTAGTATCTAATGTTGAAATAACCAGAAGATTAATAATATTTTAACTATTCTTATTCACATTTTAAAACTTCTTTTGCTTTCAAGTCTGTTTTGAAGTTTATTATTTGAATGGAGATGGTTATATTTCTCAAGAAGAAATATTTGACATGTTGAAGAACAGTCTATACCAACAGTCACCTGAAGAAGAGAGTGATGAAGGAATAAGCGAGTTAGTAGATCTAACACTGAAGAAAATGGTAAGAATGAAAAACTGCTGGGCACTCCTACTCAGGAGGCTGAGATCTAAAGACCATGGTTTGAAACCAACCTGGGCTGTAAGACTCTTATCTCTCAATTAAGCAGCAAAACCTACAAATGGAACTATGGCTCAAGTAGTAAAGTGTCAGCCTTAAATAAAAAAGCTAAGGGAGGGCTGGGAAGGTGGCTCAGTGGTAGAGCGCTTGCCTTGCATGCCTGAGGCTCTGAGGCCCTGGGTTCGATTTTCCTCAGCACCACATAAGAAAAAAGCCGGAAGTGGTGCTGTGTCTCAAGTGGTAGAGCGCTAGTCTTGAGCTGAAGAGCTGAGGGACAGCGCCCAGGCCCAGAGTTCAGGCCCCACGACCGGACCAAAAAAAAAAAAAAAAGCTAAGGGACAGTATCTGGGCCCCAAATTCAACCCTAGTATAGCACAAACAGAAAAAAAGGAAAAACTAAAAGCTGTATTGCATTATATTCAATCAAATATAGGTTGCATAGAGCTAAAGAAAAATTATTTATTTTCCTTCATAATGAATGTAACTCTTAAGTCAGTTTGTATTTGTTCTCTGTCTTATCCATTACCTAGAAGAGTCCTGTTGAAAGTGTATGCCAATAAATATTTAGTGAATGGCTGGGCCATTAATCATTATAGAAAATAAATGTTAGATTATTGTTTTCAAATATTTTACTATCAATAAACCATTAATTTATAGGGAGGCATGATCCAACTCCTGTTAACATTGAATGCTGCTTTATTTGATAACACCTTAAGTCTAGACAGCTATTTTTGATAGCTGATAGTAAAAAAGAGACCATTACTTATCAAGAAATTATCTTCCTTCTTAGGATTATGACAATGATGGCAAGATATCTTTTGCAGACTTTGAGAGAGCAGTGAGAAAAGACACACTTCTGTTGGAGGTGTTTGGCCCATGTTTACCGGAAGCAAAGGTAGAGTACAAGTATCAAAAGCCCAAACTGGTCAAGGGAAACTTTAAAGAGCCAGCGAATAATACTTGTTAGACTTTATAGGTAGCTTATTACTGAAGTTTAGGCAATTATAAAGGAATCAGCCTCCTCAACCCAGTTTGGGGCCCTACAAAGAACTATTGACTAGTTCAGTGACTAAAGACTTTGACCTTGTAAGCATTTTAGACTTGCAATTCATTTTAAACACAATGGAAATATTTTCTCAAACTAAACCCAGAATATACTGACTTTATTCAGTGATAAAACATTGAGAAAAGAGTAGATTCAGCTAGAACCAACTATAAATTGCTAGAATCCTCACCTCTTTCAACCCAACTGTTGTCAAATAATAAAAATAAAAAGGCTTTCAAAACTCCTAGACACCGACAGTTTTATAGTGTTTTATTTGTGCTCATGAGGCTTTTCATATGTGACTCTGAGTTGAAATGATTAGCTTCATGATTGGGCTTGCAAAACGTCCTTTCTTTGATTAGCTCTACTTTTCTTCAACATGGAAAAAAGTGATATTCAAAAAAGTGATATTAAAAAATTGCAGAAGTGAGAATTTCCCAAACTGGTTTTTCAACTGCTATAAATCAAGTAAATTTTTCCTAAAAGTTAACAAAAGTATGTAAACTTCTAATTTTAACTTGGTTCTAATAGCTTATTAATTTTCTTACTTTACAGAATTGTCTTCATTTTGAAGCCTTGGCATTCAGAAACATCATGACTTTTCAAACGTGAATTGCTCAATACTTACATTAAAATTAGAAACAGATCCTGGTTATGTATCTTTGAAAACTTTTATATTCGCTTCAAGTTGCAGTTATTGTGATATGAAACAATGCTATATTAACAAGAAAAGTTCCTCAATGAAACTGTAATATTAGAGAAACAATATGAATTAAATTACATAATGTACATTTTAAAATAGCAGTTGGGTTATCGAGGCATGGCTGAGCAGTAGAGAGCCTATCTGGCAAGCACGAGACCCTGAGTCTAAACACCAGCACCACCAAAGGAAAAAACCTGTTTTTTGGTATGTGTCCGTACTGGAGTTTTAACTCAGGGCATCTCACTGTTGCTTAACTCTTTCACTCATGGCTGGTGCTCTACCACTTGAACCATACCTCCACTTCCAGCTTTATGCTGGTCAACTGTACATCAGTGCCTCAGAGATTGTCTGGCTGGGCTGGCTTCAGACCTTGACCTCCTGAGTGAGCACTGTAGACATGAGCTCAGTGAAGGGGAATAACAGAAATTTTAAAAAAGAAAAAAATTTCTCTTTGGAAAATACCAACTTGTTAATGGCAATCTATATTCTTCTTCTTTGTTTTAATGGACGACTTGGGCATGAATGTTCCAACTTGTCATCTGAAGGCTTTGGTACAGATGAAATTACCTAGTTAAAAAAAAGAATCACTAAAAGTTAGTTCTTATTGGACAAGATTAAATAAATTACTAGAAGAAGAAGGCTATAGCCAGGCATGAAGCTCATGCCTCTAATCTCAGCTACTTAGGAAGTGAAGATCAGGAGTGAAAGACCAGCCCAAACAAAACGGTTAGCGAGACCAAGTCTCAAAAAAACCATGCTGGATGTGGAGGTGCGTGCTTACAATCACAACTACGCAGGAGGCATAAGAAGGAAGATGGCAGTCAGGCTGCCACAGGCAAAACTGACTCTATCTGAAAAATAAACCAAAAAAAAAAGGCTAAGAGATGGCTGAAGTGATAGAGCAGTTTTTTACTAAGTACAAGGCCCTGAGTTTAAATCCCAGCAGTAAAAAAAATCCTCCAAAACCCCAAAAAACAAACAAAAAAGCCCAAGAATATGCATGTAAAAATTCAATCACTGCCATTAGTTTTTTTTGCCAGTCCTGGGGTTTGAACTCTGCCTGGGAGAGCTGTCCCTGAGCTTCTTTTGCTCTAGCACGCTGCCACTTGAGCCATAGCGCTACTTCCGGCTTTTTGAGTAGTTTATTGGAGATAAGAGTCTCTTGCAATCCCTTGCCAGGGCTGTCTTTGAACCGTAATCCTCAGATCTCAGTTTCTTGAGTAGCTAGGATTACAGGTGTAAGCTACCAGTGCACAGCATTGCCATTACTTTTGAGATAAGAATAGATGAAGTTAAAGTAATATCCTATGACAGAAGTACACAGTGAAGTTGTTTCTGTCCATACATTGGAACAAACAAAATTTCTAAAGATATTTACCAAGATAAAAAAAAAATACAGAGAGGGCTAAGGGTGGGTTACACTCCATCGCAGGTCTAAGGCCCCAGGTTTGAGCTCAAACACTGAAGAACAACGAATATCTACTGTCCTACAGCACTGTCTTGTAGAACTAAGATAACTTGTTATTTTATGGATTCAGAGTAGTATTTTAGTTTTGCATTTCCCCTCCGTCCCCTCTTCCCCCCAGAACTCAGGCCTTAAGTTTGCTTGGCTTTCTTGCCCACAGCTGGTATACTACCATTTGAGCCATGCCTCCAGTCCTGTTTTTGGAAGTGGAATCTTAAGGACTTTCCCATCTAGACTAGCTTCAAATCATAATTCTCTAGCTCTCAGCCTCGTGAGTAGCTAGGATTTATGGGTGTGAGCCACTGGCACCAGGCTGTTTTTTCATTTTTGACTCACTTATATTTGATAGAGACATGTTTGTTTGAAGAGACTAAAAACTTGGAGAAATGAGCAGAAAACTGTATACTCCCTGAGTTTCTAAGGGAAAAAAATGCCAAAACATCATAAGAAAAAGTGGGAATAAGTCAAAGCAGAGTAAGATAGTCTTTATTTAAAATAGAAAAGTATTAGAAATTGTAAATTGTACTATTTCTCTTTGGTACTGTTTCATTATTCTAGAATTCTGACTTTACTCTGAAAATACAGTCAGCTCTGGCTGAGACACAGGTATAGTTAGTTATATCTCTACTTGGTTTAGCTGTATCTGAAGGAAGCAATGTGTAAACAGGAACTGAAAAACTCAGAAAGCCTTAATCATAAAATCCATGCCAACTGAGTTTTACTTTTATTAAATAATCCATCCCTTAGCCACAAAACAGTTTTTAAATAAAAGAACCTATGTGAAGGAGACTTGGCACTGGTGGCTTATACCTGTAATAGTTAGCAGATTGAGATCTGAAAATACAGTTCAAAGCTAGCTAGGGCAGGAAAATCCATAAGGCTCTCCAACTAACCACCAAAAAGCCAAAAGTGGAGCTGTGGCTCAAGTGGTAACTCACTAGTCTTGGGTACAAAAGCTCAGGGATAGTGCCCAGGACTGACACACACACAAAAAAAAAAACAGATATCTAGTCAGGTACTGGTGGCTCATGCCTATACTCTTAGCTACTCAGGAGGCTGAAAAAAGCGTAACAGTTCAAAGCTAGCCCAGGCAGGAAAGGCTGTGAGACTCTTACCTTCAATTAATCACCAGTAAACCAGAAGTGTCTCTGTGGCTCAAAACAGTAGAGCACTAGCTTTGAGCACAAAAGCTCAGAGACAGGGCAAGGCTGAGTTTAAGCCCCAAGACCAAGGGTGGGAAAAAAAACCAACAAAAAAAAGATATCTAAAATGGTCTATTTTCTCCACCCAACAAAAAAATTTTCTTTCAAAAGATAATCCAAATGTTGTTTCCTATTTGTGTTTAGGAAATGATTATGTAAGTAATATAAAAACTATCATGTGACGATATTTTTTTTTTTTTTGTCGGTGATGGGGCTTGAACTCTGGGCCTGGGCGCTGTCCCTCAGCTCTTCAGCTCAAGGCGAGCACTCTACCACTTGAGCTACAGCGCCACTTCCGGTTTTGTGGTGGTTTATTGGAGATAGGAGTCTCACAGTCTTTCCTGCCCGGGCTGGCTTTGAACTGTGATCCTCAGATCTCAGCCTCCTGAGTAGCTAGGATTAGAGACGTGAGCCACCAGCGCCCGGCTCATGTGACGATATTTTTAAAAAAAGAACAGAACAATGTAGCAATCTAAGACCCAATCTTTAGAAACCTCATCTTCTGGACTAGCGATGTAGGTACTTGCCTAACATGCACAAGCCCCTAAGTTTGATTCCTAGCAATGCTAAATAAACAAACCAATCTCACTTTTGTCTGTGGATATATCATAGAAGCAAAATAAGCATTTTAACTTTATCTATAATAACTCTGAAGAGACATAACTTATACTAGCTTTCTTTCTCAGTTTTAGTTTATATAAGAACCACCTAAGGAGCTTTGAGGAAAAAAAAAAGAGGAGGGCTAGAATCCACTATCAGACTGATTTAACTGAAAACATTGCTTTAGTATTTTGTTATCTACAGTGATAAAAAACACATCAGATTCATCATTGAAAGCAATTACTGTCACAATAAATGTTAATCAAATTCACTTAAGAACTATAGGAAAAAAATATAAAGAAAATATATTTTTAAATAAATGATGGAGCTGGGAAGGTGGCTCAGTGGTAGAGCGCTTGCCTTGCATGCATGAGGCCCTGGGTTCGATTCCCCAGCACCACATAAGCAAAAAGAAAAAAAGCCGGAAGCGGCGCTGTGGCTCAAGTGGTAGAGCACTAGCCTTGAGCTGAAGAGCTGAAGAGCTGAGGGACAGCACCCAGGCCCAGAGTTCAGGCTCCACAACCGGACCCAAAAAAAAAAAAATTTAAATGAAGGGCTGGGAAGGTAGCTCAGTGGTAGAGTGCTTGTCTTGCATGCATGAGGCCCTGGGTTTGATTCCCCAGCACCACATAAGCAAAAAGAAAAAAAGCTGGAAGTGGCACTGTGGCTCAAGTGGTAGAGCGCTAGCCTTGAGCTGAAGAGCTGAAGAACAGCGCCCAGGCCCAGAGTTCAGGCCCCATGACCGGACCCCCCCCTCCCCCCCCCCCAAAAAAAATTTTTAATGAAGAATGATTATGTGGCTCAGGTAGTAGAGTACCTATACTTATATAAACACTAGGCCCTGAGTTCAAACCCCAGGACCACCAGAAGAAAAAAATACCTGAAAATGGAAAAAAAATTAACTACAATTTTATAGTTATCACAAATAATCTTCCTTCTATAATTAAACTGTACTCTTAAAAGTTTTTAAAAATTATCTTCCAGGGGCTGGGAAGGTGACTCAGTAGTACAGTGATTGCCTTGCATTCATGAGGCCCTGGGTTCGATTCCTCAGCATCACATAAGCAGAAAAAGCCAGAAGTGGTGCTGTGGCTCAGGTAAAGTACTAGCCTTGTGCTGAAGAGCTGAGGGACAGTGCCCAGGCACAGAGTTCAGGCCCCATCACCAACAAAAAACAAAAATAAAAATAATAAATAAAAAGTATCTTCCCTCTTTTGTCACTTATCTTTATTACCTTTTTGGGGGACTGAGGGGTACCAATACTAAGACTTGAACTCATATACAAGGGAGCTCTCTCTTAGCTTTTTCACTCAAACCTGGCATTCTATAAGTTGAGCCATGCCTCCATTTAATCTTACCTCTTTAAGTTTATTCCGAATTAAGTTTGCCGTTGTATTCAAGGAGTCATCCTGCAAATCCACTTTAGGTATGTCTGGTAATTTAGGTCCAATTATAACCTCATTACTGCTTGTGCTTGTTTCAAGCAAAGTTCCAAGTTTACGGTCATCTTCTCTTCTTCTTTTCCGTTCCTGTAGTTGTGTTGTTCTAGGCATAAATCTGTCAACTGCCTCTGATGAAATAAGGTCTTTTTGTGCATTCAAGCAAGGTACTGGATTCTTAAAAGTGTTTAATGGCACTTTCTGTGAAGAGTTAGTATGATTACAATGCTTCACAGTTTCATTATGGTTACTATCATCCTTGTAGGAATTTGATGGTCTGTCCATGTGCTCCCCAGATGAACAGGTACATTTTGAGGCAAAATAACATAAAGGCAATTCACAAGAATAAGGAAGACAAGTAGTTGAGTTCCCAGAAGTCTTCAAAGAAGCTGCACCAAATCCAGATCTATCTGAGTGGCAGTCTAATCTAAAATCTTTGTGCTTACGTTCTGGAATCACTTTCCTCTTTGACTTGTAATAGTCTTTGTATTTAAAAGTCGAAGGAAAGGGAAACAAATGGGTCATGAGTTGTTGTCATCATTAAGAATCATATAATTTTTAAAAACCTTAAAAGGTTAACAAATTTTACTCCAAAATTTTTATTTTTTAAAATTATCTTTAATTAGCTGTATAAAGTATTTGCCATTTAACAAAGCAATTTATGAGCACAATATATCTTGATCAATGTTACTTACCCCTTTCAACAATGCATTAATATGGTTAAGTGCTTTTAAAAGGATACAAAGGGACACTGTGCCCACTATCACTTTTCCCTTGCTCCCATCATTACAAGTTCACTCTTCTTTATTTGTGTATTTTACTCCTCCCATGAATCCCTCTTTGTATCCTCACTCTAAAATTAACCATTGCATTTTCTCTGAATCTTTTCGTTTTCTACTTAACGATAGATCTTAAGAGAATTTTCTATGTCCTAATGTAGAAAGCTTTTTTTTTTTGGGGGGGGGGGTCCGGTCATGGGGCCTGAACTCTGGGCCTGGGTGCTGTCCCTCAGCTCTTCAGCTCAAGGCTAGCACTCTACCACTTGAGCCATAGCGCCACTTCCAGCTGTTTTCTTTTTGCTTATGTGGTGCTGAGGAATCGAACCCAGGGCCTCATGCATGCAAAGCAAGCACTCTACCACTGAGCCACCTTCCCAGCCCTAGAAAGCTTCTATTTTTATAGCTTGCGAATACACTACTACAAGAATAGATCATGTCACTTAATTTGTGTTTTAGTTATTAAAGTTGTATTGGTGAAATGGCTCAAGTAATAGAGTACCTACTCAACAAGAATGAGATCTAGAGTTCAAAACCAAGCACCACCAATAGGGTAAAAAAAAAAAAAAAGGGAAAAGATTAAAGCAAACAATATTGTATTGGACCCGTATTTTAGAGCCTATACATGACTCCTGCCTATTCTCTCCTTCCAAAATTAACCATAATACCAGAGTGAGGTGTAGGAAGTGTGGCAAGCATGAAATTGACTATGTGATACTTACTAACTGTTGGGGTTAATATTTGGGAGGTACATTTTAAAGTCTACCTTTGTAAATTCTGTATATATTTCTAAAGTGAGATTATATGTAATGGAAATGCTAGAATTTTGCAGGTGAAAAGCAGCTCAAATGAAGTATCCAGGACCAATCAAGCCACAGTTTAAAAAGCAATATCATGCTGTCATTAAAGATGAAGCAGTATTCAAATCTAATTTGGAGGGGAGGGGCATGATGAAAAGGTCTAAGGTGAAAGGGAAAGAGAATGAAGGTAATGCTAGGCTTCTACAAAGGTAGGTTTTAATCCCTGCTTTATTTTAGTAAAATACAATATAGACACGCAAGTCTTCCTGCTGGCTGCTTTTAGGTCAAACACTCAATTCCTTGGCATGGGAAACAAGGCCCTTATGATTCACTTCTTGCCTACTTTTTAATCTTATCTTTCACTAAAACCTTTGTGTTTTGATTAATCACGCATGATGCTTGTTTGGCCCTCTTGCTATTTCAACACTGCCTGGGTTGTGATGTTAATTAATTGGTAACTTGCCTGACTCACTTTCCTATCTCTTCCATCCCCAGAAGTAGAGAACCTTCTGGGTAATAATTACTAAAATTCAATCACTTCTGATATCCTATAGAAAATCTTCTATGAACTAATATCTCTCCCTGTCCACTTTAGTTTAAAATACAATGCTGCACAAAACTTGTGGCTTAGTTACTAACGTGATAATTACTTGCTTCTCCTCCCACTAGACCAACTCCAACATGGCACACCTAGCGGACTACCTGACACATGGGAAGTATTAATAGTAGGCGTTCCATACCTTTAGTTTTAGTAGCTCTTGTTATATAAGCCTGCCTTTCTTCTAATTTCTTTCTAGTTTCTTCAACTGTCTCAAATTCTGGAGCATAGCATACATGAAGCAATCCACCAAAGAAACTTTGTTCATCCATTTTTTTCTTGGCTATCCTAAACGGAAATATATGTTAACATGGTTCATTAATATAGAGTTACTTAGAATTAAAGCTTACCTCGTATATACTACATTGATACATGGAGAAAAGTCCAGGTTTATACATATATACATATATATATATATATATTTAGTACACTTATAATACATACAAATATTATGTAGGTATGTATGCATATATTTTCCCCAAATTCATAGTGTATTTATATGTATCATACACACTCATAGTGGACTGAGAATTAAGATGTTTTGTTTGTCGATGACATTGGCTTACTGATCTCTTTCCTCTCCTGTTAAGTTTTTGAGTGAAGCCATTCATACATATACCATTTCCTTTCAACTAACTTGGAGCTCAGCTGGTTAGCCTGAGGCAGAAACCTTGCTCAAGATGTAGAGTTTTTCTTTGTATTAAGTCACATGGGTTTTGTGTTTGTCAAATGAGTTAGTTTATACTCGATTTAGCTTTTTCAGTAGGGCTCACAAAAAAAACCAAATGCTTACTGAATTTTATACCTTGCCCCAGGTAATGTCATGTGTTTAACATCTCACAACAGTTCTGTGACAAAACAGAAACACATTATACAATCTGGCTAGTTTATATACACATTTATGGAGGTAGGATCCAGACTATATTTAAATAGTCTATTATATTAGGTGCTGTGTGAATTACAAAATCTCTAGAGAATATGCTTTTTTTTTTTTTTTTGGTTGTGGGGCTTGAACTCTGGGCCTGGGCGCTGTCCCCCAACTCTTCAGCTCAAGGCTAGCGCTCTACCACTTGAGCCACAGCTCCACTTCTGGCTTTTTCAGCTTATGTGGTGCTGAGGAATTGAACCCAGGGCCTCATGCATGGGAAGCAAGCACTCTACCACCAAACCACCTTCCCAGCGTTGAGAATATGCTTTTTTTTTTTTTTTTTTTGGCTGGTCGTGGGGCTTGAACTCTGGGCCTGGGCGCTGTCCTTCAGCTCTTCAGCTCAAGGCGAGCACTCTACCACTTGAGCTACAGTGCCACTTCCGGTTTTGTGGTGGTTTATTGGAGATAGGAGTCTCACAGTCTTTCCTGCCCGGGCTGGCTTTGAACTGTGATCCTCAGATCTCAGCCTCCTGAGTAGCTAGGATTACAGGCGTGAGCCACCAGCGCCCGGCAGAATATGCTTTTTTTTAAGAGCAAAATGTGGTTACAAAAATGAGATTACATATTAAGAGCATTATATAACATATTAAGAACTACATATAACCCTATGAAAGCCTTTTTTTTGACAGAGGTGGGGGGGGGGTTCTAGGGCCTGAACTCAGGGCTTGGGTGCTCTCTGAGCTTTTCTGCTCGAGGATAGGGCTCTATAACTTTAAGCTATATATAGATCTACTTCTGGTTTTCTAGTGGTTAATAGAGATAAAAGTCTCACAGACTTTTCTGCCCATGCTGGCTTTGAACTTCGATCCTCTTTTCTCAGCCTCCAATTTTTTAAAGAGTCCATAGCCCAAAGTCATTCGAATTCCAAAAGTCTTTGGAATTGTATGCCTTCCTAATTCCATTTTGCTTACAGTAAAAAATTTTTTCTATATACCACAATGATAGAAAACATGTGTTACACAACAGGGAATACCAAGATGAAATTTAAAGGTACAATTTAATTACAATTAAAGGTACAATTAAATTTAAAGGTACAATTTTTTAAATTACATTCTTTGAGCAAAGGTCCTACTCTACGATCCTCCTCTTGCTCAAATGGCATTCACCTGAAGGAAAGGAGACAACTGTCTTTATCTGCAGAATAAATTCCTATAGAAAAAAAAAGTGGTTACAATTTATTCTACACAGGCCCACTAAATACAGACAGACCCCTGAACTTAAATTTGGCTGGGAAACAAGTTCCATCTGTCAAGCATGATAGAGTAAGGGGATGGTTAATTTCGTGTATTAACTTGTCAAGACTGTGGTACTCACGTTTAGAAAACATGTCTAAATGTGTCTGTGAGGGCATCTTTTAGATGTCATTAACATTAAATCCAGGAGGCTATGAATAAAGTAGGTTGCTAGTTATACCTGAGTGGGAAACTGGGTGTGGTGACAAACCAGCCACCAGCACCTAGCTCCCATGAAATCTTTTGAGGCATTCTATGGGTGCTACTATGGCACCACAGAAAAAATAAAAAAGAAATAAAATTTTTAAATACCAACAGCCAGGAAAAGACAGGCTTTAGACAAGATTAGCAATGAGAAAAGGATTAACATAAAACCAAGTAAAGTCATTGTTTACTTAAGCCTCATTGCAATATTAGGTGTATGACATATAGAAGTGTGGTAAAATTTGGGTTAATTCACATAGAAGCATAAGAACTGAAAGTGCTGTTATCCTCTGAAAGTGCTGTTATTCTCTCTACTCTGAACAGAAGGACTATTCTAAGCCTTTACAACTTCGTACAACATCAAGATACAGGTCTTTTAAATACTAGGCTTAAAAAAAAAGGCTTAACAGGATTAAAAAAAGTTGAAGTTAGTAAGCAATAAAATGGGAAAATTTACTTCAAATCCCATTTTTAATCTACCACACTACACAAGAAAGAAATTTATATTGGTACACACCTGTAATTCCAGCACTGGAGAGGCTGAGACAGAAGGACCAGCCTAGCCCACAATGAGTTCAAAGCCACTCTAGTCTACACAGTTAAGCATGGGAACGATGTAATGGAAATAGTACTCTGGGTAAGGGTAGGCTTTGAAAAGACTGAAGGAAAAGCTGGTTATATGGCTTAGTGGTCTTTACTACTAACTTCATATGCTATGAAGGTGAATCCCTAGCACAGAAAAAAAAAAAAAAAGAAGAAAATACAGGAGATAGGAAGATGAAAAGAACATAGAGCCATATTAAGTTTTGAGTAATTCAGGCATGATCAGGGTTGCAGCCAAAATGATAGTCATATCATTAAAGGAAAAGAGATACTGCTTAACTAACACAGTACCTTGCACTCTGCAAATTCATAAACTTAATAAGATAAACTTCTGTAAAGTCTTCCGCTGGGTATTCATCAAGAGCATTATATTCTTCGATAGCACCATATAGAGCAAATCGCTCAACTAATTCCTTCATGGCTCCCACTGCAGGAACTCCTTGTATTATTAAGTAACGAGATTCCAAATTGATTGTATACACCTAAAAAAGGGAGTGGGGGCTTGTTAAACTTATTTCACATATAAGCCTAAAACAAATCTGCTCTTTCTTTAAAGACACAGGGCTTCAGGGCTTTGTCAACTTGATCTACAACAAGACAAAAAAAAAAAACACCATTTTTAATATGCCATTCTCTGCATAAAGAACATTCCAGCTGGGCGCAAGTAGCTCACGCCTGTAATCCTAGCTATTCAGGAGGCTGAGATATGAGGATCGTGGTTCCAAGGTAGCTCGGGCAGAAAAGTCCCCGTGAGACTCTAATCTCCAATTAACCGCTCAAAAACCGGAAGTGACGCTGAGGCTCAAAGTGGTTGAACGCTAGCCTTGAGCTAAAGAGCTCAGGGACAGCACCAAGGCCCCGAGTTCAAGCCCCACTACCAAAAAAAAATCCAAAACTGTGAGAGTTTCTAAATAAAGCATATACACACCATCCAGGCCAATTAGATAGATAGGTAGGTAGGTAGGTAGGTAGGTAGGTAGGTAGGTAGGTAGGTAGATAGATAGATAGATAGATAAAAATGATCCCCACAAAATTTGGCTGGACATAAGTTGCTGGGCATAATCATACAACGAATACTAAGTGGCTGTCACGTAGCAAATACTAAAACAAAGCTCAGTTCCCACGGAGTGGCTTTCTGGAAGTTAACCAAAGGAGCAGTGATAACCTTTGGTACCAGAGCCTGGGTTTCCCAAGCCGCCCGTCCCGAGAGCGAGCGCTGACAGCAGCCTGGCCGTGTCTTCACTTAGTGAGGCTGGCTAGGAGGACTAGAGCCCAGGCAAAGCGATCGACGGCCGCGAGTGAAGCTGAAATCACTTTACCTTGACAGCGCGAGGTCGTCGGCCCTCCCGATATTTGGCCCGCGTGTCGCACACGGCCCTTTGGACGTGGTGTTCTAACAAACTCCCGAGCTTGCCATCACTCGACGCCATCTTGCCTGTTTTCCTACTCGCGGGGGAGAGAGACTTCCGTTTTCCTGCGCTCCCATTATCCAATAAGAGAGCGAGATGGATCGAGGCGTGCTAGGATTGGCTGGAGGAACTTTTTTTTTTTTTTTTAAGCATCGACCATCGTTTCCGGAGAATGAGACTGTGACGAGGGAGTTACCGCCCCCTGGCGGCAAGGAGGAGAGAACCCGAGCGTGAGCGAACCTCGCTTGTCTCTGCCTTCGCAGGCGAGGAGCGCCGAGGGAGAGGGGGCGGGGCCGATCGATCTTCTCGGGCTCCGACGCCCTCGGCCTGCCCGGCCGGGGTAGGGATCAGACACCGAGGCTGAGTGGGCTGACCGGAGCGGCGCCTGGGGAAGATGTGGGGCGGCGACCGCCTCGCGGGTGCGGGAGCGGGAGCTGACGGGGCGGCGGCGACCGTGGCCTTCACCAACGCTCGCGACTGCTTCCTCCATCTGCCGCGGCGCCTCGTGGCCCAGCTGCACCTGCTGCAGGTAGAGCGCGGGCTGCGGGACCCCGGGCGGCGCCCGGAGTGGGGCCGGCCCCGCCGCGGTCGGACCCGGCCGCCGAGGGGTCCTGGGGACCCGGGTCCGGGCGCGGGGCGGTGTCTGCGCACGCCTACATCGCCCCTGGCCGTGCAGCGATTGCTCTTAGTTAGACTAGACTTCAACCACGCTGGTGCTGTCGCACTCTGCGCTCACTCCAGTTGGAAGAAAGCTCCTGACCACGCGTCCATTTGTTCCTGTGTTTACCGTTCTGAAACTGTTTCCAAGGGCCAGCGTTGGGGTGCCGAGGTTCCCGAGTGTTAGCGGGGACTGGGCCGAGAGCCGCGCCCCGAAGGTGAAGGTACTGGCTGCTGGCCCGCGGGCTGCGGGCGTGCCGGACGCCCGTGCGGTCTCCCGCGGAGCGAACGCGGATCTCCTGCACTGGTGTGGAGCGCCACCCTTCAGGACGCGGTGGCGGAGGCGTCGCACCGCCCCAGTCTCGGGGGGAGATGCAGCCTTGGTAGTGTCATCCCGGAAAATAGTGTCAGGAGTTTGAGTGTGCACACGGCAGGGCCGGGGAGGGGAGGGGGATTAGACTATCTGAAATCTAAATCCTAGATGCATGTTACCAAACCACAGGTTCGTGCAAGAAAGACTTGTTTGCCACGATTTCAAATAGTCTACCTTTCTCCTCTTGAGCTATTTCTCTGTAACTATAGTTATTAATTTTTATTTTTGTCTGCCTTTAAAAATACAGTGAATTCAACAGAATGCTTCAATTCTTGTTATTATTAATTTATTTATTTTTACCAGTGAGCCTTAATCGGCTTTCTTAATGAATGGAGAGAGTCAGTCGCTGTCAAGTTATCAGCTCTGTGAGAGATGCTTTCAAATCCAAACCTAATGAGTCCATACGAATTTAGTGAGTTTATAAGAATGTTTCCTTATGATTATGATAATTATTATAATTAATAATTTCATCCTAGGGTGTAGTTGTTACATTCATCACTGTTTAAGGATTTAGTAGCCTTGCTTTTTGTGTTCAATTTTCAGTCTTCAAGAAATATTTCTAAGAATTAGTTCACAGGTATCTTTCAAATACTCAAATATCTTCAGGCCTAGCACAAATTTCCTATTTTTTCTAAGCTTGTATCAGTAGAAAAGGCCCATACCACACCATTATCAAAGTGATACATAAGAAATATTATTACCAAGAAAATAAAATTACCCATAATCCCAGAACCTAGAGATAACTAATATTAAAATTTTATATCAACTCTTCCAGATTTGTTTCTTTCTCTCATGCACACACACACACACACACACACACACACACATACACAATTTTGTATCTTACTGCTTGTTAAAAGGTCATTATCGGGGCTGGGAAGGTGGCTCAGTGGTAGAGTGCTTGCCTTGCATGCCTGAGGCCCTGGGTTTGATTCCTCAGCACCACATGAGCAAAAAGAAAAAAGCCGGAAGTGGTGCTGTGGCTCAAGTGGTAGAGCGCTAGCCTTGAGCTGAAGAGCTGAGGGACAGCGCCCAAGCCCAGAGTTCAGGCCCCATGACCGGAACAAAAAAAAAAGGTCATTATCAGTTTATTATTATTCTAGTATAAACTTGCCATAGTTTGTTCACTATGACTGGCCATTTGGATTATACTCAAGTTTCAGACATTAAAAGTGATATTGTGCTGGGTGCTCCTGGCTCATGCCTGTAATCCTAACTACTATGAGGCTGAAATCTGAAAATCCAAGTTCAAAGCCAGTATACGCAGACAAATCCCTGAGACACTTATGTCCAGTTAGCTAGCAAAAAACCAGTAGTGGAGGTATGTCTCAACTGGTAACACACCAGGCTTGATCAGAAAAAATTAAGTAACAGAACTGAGTTGAATTCATGCTCCAGTACCAGCACAAGACACACACACACACACACACACACACACACACACACACACACACACACACACACAGATGAGAAAAGAGAAAAGAAAGAATAGAAAAAGAATATACTGCAGATATCTTCTGGGGTGGTTTTTGGTTTGGTTTCGTTTGCTTCTTTGAATCATTAGTATACACACACACACATATGCAGCTGAAAAGCTATGTATGTTAATTCAGCTACCTGTTGTCATTTTTAATTCTGAAATAGTTGAATTGATTTAGCATCACTAGTGTTGGCTGATGAAAATGGTTATAGCCTTTTAAATACGATGATAAATATAGGTAACAGTTATGAGCTCTCTTTTTTAAAAAAAAAGTAGATTACAATAATAGTTCACCTGAATCCATCATACCATATGAAAACTTTCAAATCTTTTTCCCATTCTTTGTATGAATAGAATCAAGCTATCGAAGTAACCTGGGGTCACCAGCCTGCATTCTTGAGCTGGGTGGAAGGCAGGCATTTTAATGATCAAGGTGAAAATGTGGCTGAAATTAACAGACAAGTTGGTCAGAAACTTGGACTCTCACACGGGGAGCAGGTAAGTACAAAATGATAGCAGAAACTTTCTTTTAATGTCTCATAAGAGCAATGGAACAAATATTAAAGTTTATAGCCAATTTCAATATCATAGGCTTAGTGTTTTGTTTTTTTAAGTATACTCTTGGAACCAGCTGTGATATTGAAATCAGCTATACTTTGTTAGCTATTATCTTGCTGTTTGCTATGTTTTCTACTTGATTTTATTTCTTATTTTACTGCTGAATTTTCATGAGATTATTTATCCTTTATGAATTGTTTTCTTTTCTTTTTTTTTTTTTTTTTATCTGTTGTGGGGCTTGAACTCTGGGCCCGGGTGCTGTCCCTCAGCTCTTCAGCTCAAGGCGAGCGCTCTACCACTTGAGCCACAGCGCCACTTCTGGTTTTCTGGTGGTTTATTGGAGATAGGAGTCTCACAGTCTCTCCTGCCCGGGCTGGCTTTGAACCGCGATCCTCAGATCTCAGCCTCCTGAGTAGCTAGGATTACAGGCGTGAGCCACCAGCGCCCGGCGAATTGTTTTATTTTCTATTATTAACCTGTATTTTATTTGCTTCTGATATTCTATGTTTGTCAATTTATTCATCTTAAATACGTTTAAACTGTGGGACTAATACATTCATTGTAAATACTTTAGGTTAGAAGTTTTCAAAAAATGTATTTTTCCCTTTTAATAAATATTTGCTGTTTGTTGGAATTTTCCTGGACTTTGAGGATTTAAAGAATGCAGTCTTAGCCGGGCGCTGGTGGCTCATGCCTGTAATCCTAGCTACTCAGGAGACTGAGATCTGAGGATCGCGGTTCAAAGCCAGCCCGGGCAGGAAAGACCGTGAGACTCTTATCTCCAATAAACCACCAGAAAACCGGAAGTGGCGCTGTAGCTCAAGTGGTAGAGCGCTCGCCTTGAGCTGAAGAGCTGAGGGACAGCGCCGAGGCCCAGAGTTCAAGCCCCACGACTGACAAAAAAAAAAAAAAAAAGAATGCAGTCTTACTTTTTTTTTTTTTTGCCATTTCTACCCCATAAAATATATCAAGATACCTTTCTTTGGTGTCATCAAGTTCCAAGAGCCCCACAAAAACCAAAGTCTGTGGATGTGCATATGCCTTATGTAAGATTGCATAAAACTATACACCTTCTGCTGTATACTTTAGATTATCTCTAGATTACTTATAAAACCCAATTCATTGCCAATACTATGTAAACAGTTATACTATGTAGGAAATAATGACAAGAAAATTCTGCGTATGTTAAGGGCAGACACACTTTTTTCCCTCAGATTCTTTCTATCCACAGTTGAATCGACAGAGGAACATGTATACAAAGACTTGACTATATTACAAATGTTATGAGAACATCTCTCAGTGTAAATGTGATCTTTTATTGTAGCAGTGCCACTGAGACACTGTCTCCCAGTGATGCATTGATGGGGACAGAAAGTGGACTAGCTTGCCTAGGAATCCTGGTGTCTTGTTTCTTTGGAGCTGCTTTTGTGCTTCCTCAGAATCGTCAGTTTAAGTAGAATGTAGGAGAGGGATTGAAGGAAAATTCATGGGGCACTTGAAAGTAATTCTATTCCAGTCCACAAAAGCAGAGAAGAAAGGGTGGTTGCCTAGAACATCTAACACTTGGTGGTTTAATTCCCTAAATCTACTGATATGAATGTCAAGGAGGAAAGAAAATAAGATGGTGTTCTTCAGCTTCATTAAGGCACTATAGCATTTCATATATCTGTGTATTAGAGTAAGTAGGTATTTGCTCTTCTTTTTTTTTTTTTTTTCTGTGAAGGATTGTACTTTGAAATAATTGTCTCTGATCTCTTATTTTGGAATAGTTTCCTAGTAGTACCATGATGAACCTAGTTTTGGTTTTTGGGTTGTTTTTTTTTTTTTTTTTTTGGGCCAGTCCTTGGGCTTGAACTCAGGGCCTGAACACTGTCTCTGTGCTTCTTTTGCTTAAGGATAATGCTCTACCTCTTGAGCCACAAGTGCCACTTCCAGCTTTTTCTGTTTATGTGGTACTGAGAAATCGAACCCA